TGACCTGTCCGTCCTCCCTGGACTGACCTATCCCCTTCCTAACTCCCCACCTACACTCACCTTTACTGGCTCCATGCCCGCCTCTTCGACCTGTTTGTTTCCTCTCCACCTATCCCCTCCTCTATCCCTCTTCTATCCGCCTCCCACTCTCTCCCAATTTACTTCAGAACCCCCTTCCCCTCCCCCTTTTCCGATGAAGGGTCTAGGCCCGAAATGTCAGCCTTTCTGCTCCTATGATGCTGCTTGGCCTGCTGTGTTCATCCAGCCCTGCACCTTGTTGTCTCGGATTCTCCAGCATCTGCAGTTCCTACTATCTCTCTCAGTCCTTGAATATCCCAGGTCTTAAAATAAGGTCATGCAAGTTGAAAATCGATAGTTCATGTTTTACTGTAATTCTATTATAACACATTTCCATCACAAGAATGGAGCATGAGTGGTATTTTTCCTTGTTTAAGGTAAACATTTCAAAAAAAAGGTCACAATAGAAATTTAACAGAAATTGGGACAACACATAAATATTCTGCTCACCTACGTCCGTGACACCACCCATGCCCTCCACCTCCTCCAAAACTTCCAATTCCCCGGTCCCCAACACCTCATCTTTACCATGGACATCTAGTCCCTATACATCTGCATTCCCCATGCAGATGGCCTAAAGGACCTCCGCTTCTTCCTGTCCCGCAGGCCCGACCAGTCTCCCTCCACTGACATCCTCATCCGCTTAGCCGAACTCGTCCTCACCCTCAACAACTTCTCTTTCAATTCCTCCCACTTCCTACAGACAAAGGGAGTGGCCATGGGTACCCACATGGGCCCAAGCTATGCCTGCCTCTTTGTAGGTTACGTGGAACAATCCCTCTTCCGTAGCTACACTGGCCCTAAACCCCACCTCTTCCTCCGCTACATTGATGACTGTATCGGCGCCGCCTCGTGCTTCCATGAGGAGCTCGAACAGTTCATCCACTTCACCAACACCTTCCACCCCAACCTTAAGTTCACCTGGACCATCTCTGATACCTCTCTCTCCTTTTTGGACCTCTCTGTTTTCATCTCTGGCAACCACCTGGAAACCGATATCCATTTCAAGCCCACCAACTCCCACAGCTACCTAGAATACACCTCCTCCCACCCACCTTCCTGCAAAAATGCCATCCCCTATTCCCAATTCCTTCGCCTCCGCCGCATCTGCTTCCAGGATGAGGCATTTCACTCCCGTACATCTCAGATGTCCTCGTTTATCAAGGACCGCAACATCCCCCCCCTCTCGACCGTGTCTCCCGCATTTCCCGCAACTCATCCCTCACACCCCCTACCCGCAATAACAACCAAAACAGAACCCCCCTCGTCCTCACGTACCACCCAACCAACATTCGGATCCAACACATCATCCTCCGACACATCCGCCATCTGCAATCCGACCTGGCCACTCTCTCCGGGACTCCCTTGTCCGTTCCACACTCCCCTCCAACCCCACCACACCTGGCACTTTTCCCTGCAACCGCAGGAAGTGTTACACCTGCCCCTACACCTCCCCCCTCACCCCCATCCTAGGCCCCAAGAAGACTTTCCACATCAAGCAGATGTTCACCTGCACATCTGCTAATGTAGTATACTGTATCCGCTGTTCCCGTTGTGGCCTCCTCTACATCGGGGAAACCAAGCAGAGGCTTGGGGACCGCTTTGCAGAACACCTACACTCGGTTCGCACTAAACAACTGCACCTCCCAATCGCGAACCATTTCAACTCCCCCTCCCATTCCTCAGACGACATGTCCATCCTGGCCCTCCTGCAGTGCCACACCGATGCCACCTGAAGGTTGCAGGAACAGCACCTCATATTCCGCTTGGGAACGCTGCAGCCCAATGGTATCAATGTGGACTTCATAAGCTTCAAAATCTCCCCTCCCCCTACATCCCAAAACAGCCCAGCTTGTCCCTGCCTCCCGAGCCTGTCCTTCTTCCCACCTATCCCCTCCTCCCACCTCAAGCCCCACCCCCATCTCCTACCTACTAACCTCATCCCGCCCCCTTGACCTGTCCGTCCTCCCTGGACTGACCTATCTCCTCCCTAACTCCCCACCTACACTCACCTTTACTGGCTCCATCCCTGCCTCTTTGACCTGTCTGTCTCCTCTCCACCTATCTTCTCCTCTATCCATCTTCTATCCGCCTCCCCCTCTCTCCCTATTTATTTCAAAACCCCCTTCCCCTCCCCCATTCCTGAAGAAGGGTCTAGGCCCGAAATGTCAGCCTTCCTGCTCCTCTGATGCTGCTTGGCCTGCTGTGTTCATCCAGCTCTACACTTTGTTATCTCAGATTCTCCAGCATCTGCAGTTCCTACTGTCTCTAAATATTCTGCATTCAGTTTCTTCATTCAAATTGGGGTTCAGAACATGCTGTATTCTGAATGGCAGCCATTCTTGTTCCCCAAACTATACGCTGTCTGAGTTTTAACCCTCCACTGCCCAGTTCCATAATCCATGTACTAGATTGAGGTTGTAAACAGATAAAATTTTGAAAGAAATGGTTATGTAAAAGTCTGTTGGATTGCCACACAAATGGCCAAGAGCCATTATAAAAGACACAAAAAAAAGTTTATGATGAGAAAACATGAAACTAATAAATGAGCAATTGAGTCTTTCCATGAGGTATAAACATTAACAATGACTTGTTTCGATAGCAGATTTAAATTGGACCCAAAGGCCTATGCACTACTGAGGAGTACTATGTCATTTTACCTGCAGTCTTTGGGTAAGACGTTACACTAAATCCCCAACACAGCAGGCCAAGCAGCATCATAGGAGCAGAGAGGCTGACGTTTCGGGCCCAGACCCTTCATCAGAAAAGGGGGAGGGGAAGGGGGTTCTGAAATAAATAGGGAGAGAGTGGGAGGCGGATAGAAGAGGTATAGAGGAGAGGATAGGTGGAGAGGAAACAAACAGGTCGAAGAGGCGGGGATGGAGCCAGGAAAGGTGAGTGTAGGTAGGGAGTTAGGAAGGGGATAGGTCAGTCCAGGGAGGACGGACAGGTCAAGGGGGCGGGATGAGGTTGGTCGGTAGGAGATGAAGGTGCGGCTTGAGGTGGGAGGAGGGGATAGGTGGGAGGAAGAACAGGTTAGGGAGGCAGGGACGAGCTGGACTGGTTTTGGGATGCGGTAGGGGGAGGGGAGATTTTGAAACTTGTGAAATCCACATTGATACCATTGGGCTGCAGGGTTCCCAAGCGGAATATGAGTTGCTGTTCCTGCAACCTTCGGGTGGCATCGTTGTGGCACTGCAGGAGGCCCAGGATGGACATGTCGTCTGAGGAATGGGAGGGGGAGTTGAAATGGTTCGCGACTGGGAGGTGCAGTTGTTTATTGCGAACCGAGCGTAGGTGTGCAGTTGTTTATTGCGAACAAGTTTCAAAATCTCCCCTCCCCCTACCGCATCCCAAAACCAGTCCAGCTCGTCCCTGCCTCCCTAACCTGTTCTTCCTCCCACCTATCCCCTCCTCCCACCTCAAGCCGCACCTCCATCTCCTACCGACCAACCTCATCCCGCCCCCTTGACCTGTCCGTCCTCCCTGGACTGACCTATCCCCTTCCTAACTCCCCACCTACACTCACCTTTACTGGCTCCATGCCCGCCTCTTCGACCTGTTTGTTTCCTCTCCACCTATCCTCTCCTCTATCCCTCTTCTATCCGCCTCCCACTCTCTCCCTATTTATTTCAGAACCCCCTTCCCCTCCCCCTTTTCTGATGAAGGGTCTAGGCCCGAAACGTCAGCCTCTCTGCTCCTATGATGCTGCTTGGCCTGCTATATTCAAGGACTGAAATGGCTTCAGACTGCACCATCTCATCTTGGGCTGGCTGGAAACAGGCAGCAGGAAAGGCACTAGCAAAGCAGCAAGTTGGAAGCAGAAGTTATATGATCATCGAAGAAAAAAGCATGTTAAGGCTCCATGGAACCATTGCCACTGTTCCAGAGTAACACCTTAGTAATCCTCCTGATCTGTTGAAAAGAGATTGATGAACTGTCAGATACCCTATAAGCCATTTTGAATTGTGTGATCCATGATCATGTTAGCAGCAGTCGGAGCTTTGATTACCATACATTAATAGAAGCTGTCAGGGTCACAATGCAAATTGTTACATTTGCCATCAGCCATTATCTCACAATGGGCCCTACGGAAGCACTGATGGTAGTGATCACACCTTATATATTGCAAAGGATGAACTTCAGTGTCATAAAGCCACATGCCAAGTTGGAGTTGAAGTCCTCTGGGCTCTGTAATCAGAGACAGATTTTCTGATTGGTCTTGGGTCCCTTAAGACAGATATTTTTTTCTCGTATTCTCCACGTAGCATCACACTTCTTCTAACTGTTGTAACTGAACCATTTCCTTTTCCCAAGCATGAACAATTTCTAATAAACAAGGACAGAAGGAAGATAACAA